TTTTTGTTTCCGTAGCCCTCATAACCGCATGTGTCCATGCGTCGTGCACAATATTGTAGCGTGATTCGCGATAGGGTGCTCATTGCACACGACAACAGTCCTATCGGTAGAATTATTACACCGTGCAATATAATGTAAATACTCAACATGACGCATGACCACGACCTATTAATATTATACACTAAGATTATGATTTTTTTTTAACGGTCACTGCCGTTGACACCTTGACAGTCTCGTTATAATGTATAAAAACTAGACTACCTACTAGATGCTGGAAAAAAAGCAAATAACAATAATAATCAATACAGCTCGATAATAATAACAAGAATAACGACAACGATAATAGTATGCAATTTTTCGTCCCACCGAGGCCTATTTTAAAACCGATTATTATAATTAAAAAAGTGTGCACTTGTACCTACAATACAAACTTAGCAGTCGCCTTAAGCCCGTCAATGTTTTTTTTCTTTCACCATTAGTAAGTGCATTAATTCACAATAGCTTGATGTTTTCATTATACGAAAAACTGTTCGTCTCGCAAAACAACAATAAACGTTTGATGTGGCATAATCAGTGGTGTAATATTATAATATAGCGACGGGTCGGTAAACGTGGAACAACAAGAGCCCCGCATAAAAAGGTCCCGTAACGATGAGTAGAGTATCTATGTATGTTCATATTTATGTGTTTAGACTACCGCACTATCGTCAATGTATGCGGATAGTATATAAAATAAAAAAAAATATTGTTTAAACATTTCTTCTCGACATTTACATTAACAGAAAAACACAAGTTTGATCGTATTATTTCTTTATCATACGATTAACATTTAATAGGTATAATGTTCAAAAAAACAGTATTTATGTTCGTTTTATATCTCTCTTAATTTTAATATATTGTACATATTTTGTATATTTACAGTATATTTTTTTTCCTTATTAGTATTTGATTTGTGCTCGATCGTTTGAAACATTATGCACTTCTTTTATTCAATCAACCACTTATAGCATATGATATGATATTTTAATAGAAACCATAGATTTTCAAACATGTTTTTGACATTTCGGACTACAATTGCATATAAGGGATATTATTATTTAACACTAAAAAATCTATCTATAACAAAGTTTAATATAGTATGACAAAAAATGTCTGTTACATTTTTTATTCATTTTATTATCTTCACGGGTGTCCGTATCTAAATTTAACTTGTATAAAATCATTGTTAGATACCAAGATTATGATTTTTATTTTTATGCATTTTATAATGTGTATCGAGTTCGTTTTTGTTATCAAATTATGTTAATATTGATATTTTCAACTTAGTGGTAAGTGACTGCTTGATATTAATATGTCCACTGTGTGCTATAAAATATTTTTATTGACATGCGTTTAGTATTTGTTTGTTTAAAATCTATTATTTTTATCTATAAATTGTTATTTATAAAAGTATAATCTATTATAATATTAACTCATCATATAGTTTGTTGAATTTTATCATTGATTAGACAAAAATAAATATAAATTGAAATTCGTAGAGCCTCACAATTTCATAAGTTATAAAATGTTACATGTTATGTATATTGATTTTGTCGATTTGGAACAGTCTTATATGTACCATCACTATACTTAGTTTCAATATTGCAAAAAAATTCAATATTTTAAAAAATTGAAAAAAAACTAAGGCTTAATTTTTGTCATTTTGTTTAGTTATAAATAAAAAAATAAATCACCACCAAAAATTTTTGACTTGAGATGCAAAACAACAATGTATTCTAACAGTGATGGCGTAGAAGGTTGATTTTATATAGTGTAAATATATAATTCTCTATCCATATAAAAACTTATCATTTTGAATATATATGTACGTTGGAACTTTAGGGTCCTGAACATTTTCAATGGAACGTTTTCTTTGGGAATCCTAAAAATATAATTTTATAAAAATTCTTTTAGGTTTTACAACTAAAAATTTTAAATTTAAATTTATGTTCTTATTTTAATTTTTATAGTATAAATACTTTGGAATTATAATTTAGGAGTATATTAGTATACAAAATAAAAAAAAAAAAATGTTAAATATTGAATGAAATTATAAAACCGATTATACAAACATTGATTGGATTATTCATTACCTACACACTTTAGGACATTATTTTCTTTGCTAATAATAATAATTTACATGCCAATAAATAATTGATTTTAAAATGTACTACTTTATTTTAATAGTTGTTGACTGAAGTTTTATGTATATAATATACATACATATATATATATATATGTATATTGATATCTGATATTAATTTACATTAAAACGTATATTTTATATAATTTTTATTTTTATATTACCTATGTGATTTAAGTTTTTTTTTTTTTTTTTTTACCCCAAATGGCCATTGATAGATGCTATGGATGTATTTAATAATAAAATAAAAATAATTTATTTTAACTTAATATGCATTTTTATTAAAAAGTGTTATTTTTTATTATTATAAACTATATTTCATACCAATAATTAAAAATAAAATATAGTTTTTTTTTTTAATTGTTGTATACACATAATGTGATTAAATGTAACTCATACATTTCAATATGAGAAATAAATCTAAAATTATTAAATACAGCAAATATGTAGAATATCAAAACTCTATTTTAATAGTTTCAAACTTAAGTTGTTTTCGTCTGATGTTTTGTATACAATATTGACAGTTTCTAAAGTATAAACCAAATGTTCAAAGAATTTAACAGGGAAATTGAAAAAGTTTTAAAGACGTTCTTTATTATTTATGTCACTATTTTCATTGAAATAAGAACAACTTTTATGAAAAATAATTTTAATATCGAAAATTTATTTTTCAGTACATTCATAAAAGAATGATCATACATGATAAATATTTGTTGTCATGTCGAAACTAAAATTGGATAACACATTATCAATATACTTTATAATTTTACATCTAGTAGACAGTTTAAAAAATATAATAATTTAGTATTCAATGATTTTTAATAAAGAAAAAAATATAGTGTAATTAGTTAATATAATATTGCTAGGAAGTTAAATAATACAAGAACAATAAAAATTATAATAAAATATAAAATTATACAGTTATTTAATTATAATTTAACATTTTTTTTTTTCTGAAGCATTAGGTAAAATGTCTAGAAAGATATACAAATAGTCCCATTTCAATGACAGCATAATATGTTACACAAATTTTTGTTGAAAGTTTGTGCTCTAATTATGATTCTACAAAACTTCAGCTTCAAAGAGATTTTGTAATGATACTCCACTAACGAGAACGCGAATAAAAAATAATTAAATATATGTATACGATAAAAAATATAATCAAGGCCGAAATTATAGGATAGGATAACTCAAGGGTTATAATAATAAACAGCAAAGAATACTTATTAAACAAATAAAAAAAAAGATTTATATTTCGAGTTACCACAACGTTTATGTTTGACTTAATTTTATATTTTCTTAAACAATCAAAAACTATCACTATAAATTTATTTCGGAGATTTTTTTTTTTTTAGTAGTACATACAAGTATGCGTTGAATTTATTTGAATACGTTTGTAAAATCAATATGATTTAAACAGCATGACTGAACATGACACAAAATCAAAAAACGTCATATATTTTTTGTTTATTAATTACTTTTTAGGTACAGTATTTGATGCATGATATATATATAAGATATTACACACATTCATTTTAAGAAACAATTTAATTTATGTTTGGAGTTTAAGAGGTTGCCTTTAAAGTACAAAATATTTTTTCATACTCTATAAATTTAAAGAATTTCATTAAAAAAAATATTTATCGTAATAACATGCTAAATAGTTATTGTTATTTTTTTAAATGTAACGCTGGTTTTTGAAATACAATTGACTAATGTGTTGTTTAATGAATGACTTTTATTGAATAGATGAACTTTTCGATATAAACTTCTAAAAACATAATTATATTACAGTGAGTAGCAAAAGTTTTTATTACTATTGCTTTAATTTTATCATCACGTTTATAAGTGTATTGTAGTTTTCTTTTCTTTTTTTCTGAGAATCATTTAGAAGTTATAATCAATTTACTTAAACTAATGAAAAGCGTAAACGTCTGTAGCGCTAAATGCGTTTGTAATGTAAATTAAATGATACTAAAAATAAATTTAAGCCGGTGATTGTTTAATCAACTTGTACAACAAAATAAATATGTTTAAATAGAAAAACCAATTATCAGATTTATAAAATTAGATACTATAAGGTCATGGAATTTTCATTGAAGTTAAAGTATTCATTGTTATAATTCATAACCAATTGGTATAATTATTTTTATTATATGATATTACATGTTCCATGATATTATTTAATTTAACAATCTAACATTTAATGAATTATTGAGGTGTTTGATATTAAATATTATCACTGACAGATAATATTATATTTATCATAACTAAACGACAGTTATCACCAAATTTGAAACCGTGTTTTTATTTGACTGAATTAATTTAAATTACAAAAAAATTAGTCATTATTTAAAGAAAATGATGACCTTTTACAATATAAATTCTTCAATATAAAATTATTTATGACCGCCCCTCTTTTGTATTTCGGTGAAACGTTTTATTCCAACGTCCAAAATGACAATATTAAAAAAGTTTTCCGTCCTTCATGTGATATTCTCATTAAAGAGAATATGATTTTTTTAAACTCCATGAAACTTTTGTTCCAAACAAAGCGTGAAAAAATAACGACGATTTGGATTCTGAATAATAATATGTCGAATAAAGTTTTCAGTGTAGGCAAAATTTTAAAATTTTTATTGCAATACTATCTATTAGATTCTTAGCAACACTTGTTGTTATTTTAAATATATGTGTATTATTAGTGAACTTATATTCTGCTAAATACTTTGTTGTGATTTTTATTATTAAAAAATATATCAATTGAAACTAAAACTTCATGCTTATCGATTGTTTATATTCTAATTTTATGTTACAGTTACTGTACCACTTGTTCCTGTTGACGCTGTAGAAGGCAGATCTGTTAAATTTCCTTGCGACGTGTCCTCACCAAATCCAGCAGATAAAGTGTACATGGTATTCTGGTTTAAAGATGACTCTGGTGTACCACTTTACAGGTATGGTCTTATGGTTTTATTGTTAATTTTATAATACATAATGTTATTATTATAAATAACATAGTACATGTATATTTGTGTATAAATATATAATTTTAATTATAATTAAACATTAAATGATATCTTTAAAATTCAAAATCTTTACTTTTGTAGTATTGAAAAAAAATAACTTTATAAATTCTTGAATAGTCTTGGAAAAATTAAAACCATCGTATTTTAATATATAATTAAATATAATAATATTGTTCAGATATTTAAATACATAACTTTTCTGTAAAAATCAATATTGTGTTATTTTGCTTGGAATGATGAATTGACTCAATTCTTTCCATGCCATGACTTTATCCTTATATGATAGTGGAAACAAAATATAACCATATTCACAATGACTACCCCACTGACTGTATTATTATAATTTTCGAAGAGAACTTATTGAACGGAAATTTGACAAGGGGTGTCAAGAACATTAGATTGCTGGTGCACAGTTATGAGATGGGGCGGAGTCTAAGTTTAAAGCGCCATCGTACGTACGTTTCATATTACAAGTTTCGAGTTTTAATTATCGTATTTAAACAGAGCCTGCAGTAGTTAAAATCAGAATCGGGCTTTCGCGAACGTGACATTTTGTTGCACATCGGCGTTTAGGTGAAAAATAATTTTTATAATACATATTATTATCAACTGTAGTTGTCATTCGAATTAAAAATAATTTGATTGCTCATGACAAGGAATAAACGTGGTTACAACGGTGTCTATTCATATTAATTGGTTTTCATTTTTTACATATTATACACTATAAGCATAATATTAATATAATAAAAATTATCACTATGATAGTATTGTACTTGAATTAAATCTAATTAATTTAAGATTCATTTATTTTAAAATTTAATATTTAAGCAGATAAATTGTTTACTAGGGTTTTAATCGATAATTAGTTTTATGCAATACATTTTTTAGTATCGTAACAGAAAAACTAGCTTAAAAAAATTTAAGTTACTCGTGTTAATACAACTTAAACGTTTGTGCCTAAATAATTATTTAACTTTTTTTTTGCCTAATTGCAGCTTATACACAATTAAATATACACAGATCCGTTATTTATGGATATCATTATTTATTATATTTCGTAATTAACTTTATATTATTGTTCTGATATACTCGTATATATATATTTTTTTTATGCCAATTTTCAATCAATAACCTGCTTAGTTTTTATATACTTTTAGTATATATATTTTTTTATTTTTAGATGAAATACAATTAATGACCTTTTATAATTCGTAGGTGAAATTTTGTGTATAATTTGCTAAGCGATATACGAATAGATATGAGTAGATTGTTGTTGTTTATTCAATTAAAAAGCACTAAATCATTTTTACGACATCCTAAAAATATCATCTGTGATCAGAGTTTTACGATTTATGATCTAAATATGAACGACTTAATAATTATTAAGAATAATGTTTTAACTTTTTTTAAATACTTTAGTAGCTCAAAAAGATACAATAATTTATTGATAACGAATAAAAATATTTTATTTTGATTAAAAAATGGTAAATACATTTTTTTTTTGTAAATTATTTTTTATTTAAAGTTTTAAGACATATGTGTCCAAATATTTTAGATGTATGAGACACTAAACACAAAAATGTTACAGCCATTAAAATATTAGAAACACTGCAGAAAGTTATAGTACATTATATGACTCATAACATGTTTTACATTTTAACTAAATATACTAATAGCAAACGTAAAAGCAGATACTATAAATAAATTAATTATATTTTATTTTAACGAACACTAAAATAAATTAACTGAAATTAATTTAAGTGATTTATTTATTATTTTTATATATTTTTTTAAGCATTATGAATAATTGAAAATCTAATAACTTTTGTTTCTATTTAAAAAAATGATAATTCATTTCAGCTACACAACAATTCTTTTTTTATTTTTTAAACACTAAAAATATTTAATTATTTTAATCAACCATTTTTTTTATACCGTCATTGAATTATGACTTAAAGTGTATTTTTAAATTAATTCTATATAATAATAAGTTATTATATAAGTGCTACGTGGTTTATTAATTGACATTTTTGAAGTTCGTAAACATATTTTTTTATAATATAAATATCAAGTTAGAAAATTAAAAAGTAAGTAGATATATGAAAAGTTTTTTAACGTTAAAATATCATGAGTTTTAAAAATATTCCTAAAGATGTACAATAAAGTTTAATTAATTTGATATGATATAAAGTATTCTTCAATAAATACGAACTAAAGCATTATAGTTTATAGTGCAATTAATTACAGTTTAAATTAATTCATAATGAATAAACAGACATAAAAATGTCGTTTTGTACATTTCAATATAAAATTACTTATAAAAAATAAAAAAAAAGATTGTTTATTACCTGTCTACGTGACTGATGATTCAGTTATCTACAATTGAATTATTATTGTCATGTCAAGTTTTTTTTATATGTTTATAATATATATAAATATAAATATATATATATATATATATATATATATATATATATATATATATATGTACAATATTGAAACTTTTTTATACCACTGTCTGGGACTAGTATTATATGATATGCTCTGCTAGACAGTAAAATGCTTCAAAACGTCCCATTTTTAAACGGAAATTGTGTATACATGTCGGGCAGTTATTCATTTTTTCTCATTGTAGGTATTCATTTAAACTCAAATATTTTTAATATCTTTAGGTTTTTACGACTTTTTAAGTTATAGTATAGTGACATAAATATACTAACTCACTATAAAGTACTAACGTTAATAAGGTTATTCTAAGTTTATTCCAATGAGAACAAACAATTTATTAAAATATTATAAATTATTTTGTTCTGTGAAATTAACAATTAATAATTCTTAGGTATTTATAGATGTTAGTGGTTTCTTATTACCTGCTTACTTATGATCTAAACAATTGGAACAGTCTTTAATAATGACTGACTAAATTTAAAAATTAGTCGTTTTAATTTTTTAAGTATTTTAAGACTTTAGGTGCTATGTAAATTGCAATATATTTAAGTACTTTGAAATAATATTATAACATTTTGATTTATCTGAATAAATTTATTTCCCTATACAAGAATGAAAAATCGGACCAAAATTCGTTTGCCAAAAATGACCTTTCGTTTTTCAACTAAATATTTTAAAATTATTTTTTTCTTTTTGACCAAAAATAATATAGCACTTTTTGACCATATTTTTATATATATCTAATTTTGGTAAACACTTAATTTAAATTATTTATATTTATTATAAATATATATCTACAATAATCCGCTCAACATCTTATAAAGATAATATCGCTATAATAATACCTGGAAAAATATAGATATATAATGTCTATAATGGTTCACTATGGATATAAATCGATATCAGTGTGGTTCGCTTATTATTTTATAAAAATAAGATAAAAGCAATTGTGAATTAACCTTAATAATATTTGACAACTATACAACTGTTTTAATGCAGTTTTATTTACTCATTTTGAGCTGAAGTGCGTTTTTCGACGGTAATTTTTTAATTAATGTTGTTAACAATTTTAGTAAATTTAAGTGAAATCATGGAATTCGTAGAAAGTAAAGAAGGATTTTGTATGGTAGTACATAATAATTTTAAATATAGCTTTGAATCGATAAATAAAAATACGGCTCTATACTTATTGGAGATGTGTAACGATAATTTATAATGCACTAATATATTCAGAAAAGAAAGATTTTTTTATTTCAACAACTGAAGAACATAATCACGATTCTTACAATTTAACAAATATTCATTGCCGAATTATTAATGTAAGACGTGAACGTTTAGCTGTAGAAGATATGCATATAAAACAGGAAAAAGTAGTTTAAAGGCAATTCCTTGCAATGATCATACAGCATCAATATTTATTGTATCTGATATTAATAGACCGAGAAAAATATAATATATAAAGCTCGTAAAAATGCCTTTCTATCTACTAATATTAATGAAGTTTATACATTTTATTGATATGGAAAAAATAGTTTCTACTAACGGAGTAATTCATATAGATAAATAATAAAGTGTTTTCCAAAATGTGTATTATAAAACACGTTTTCAAAAAGTTAATTTACATTCGGAACCCTTGGGTTAAAGGTACAATAGGTACAACTCTCAATGACTAAAGGCAAAATCAAACTTTTAATTTAGTACCAGTATCTATTCGTGCTTGCAATTTTCGGAAACCGATACAATTTACCACAGTATTTTTTTTTTTTTTTTTTATATATAATGAGTCAGATTAAAACAATTTTCCTAGATCCTTGTTTATTTATTTTTTATTTTTATTTTATTTTAGTTTACATTACGGGATAAACCCATTTATTAAATATTGCTAATAAAATAATATAGGAACATGACGATTATGTAATATTATATCTTCTATTATGTAAATACTTAATAATTAGTTTAATTTACGTTTCATCACAAATGTTAATTTCTCCAAAATATATATAATTTGAATTTTACGTCCAATCTATTATACAAATTCGAATATTTATTAAGCAGAATGAATTTCTAAATTTAAATACTGATTATTCATAAATTGACTCGATAACTAATTATGGAATTGGAGCCCTCAAAACTATGAAATAACCCAAAAACCATAAAAGTTTTAAGTATGAACATATAATTTATATAATATTGTCACCTTTATTCTTGATTATTAAATAACATTGAACAAAAAATAAATTTTCAAGTTACATAGTAAATCAATCATATGTTATAGTTACCTCGATAATCTTTATATCTATTTTTAAAAACTTCAAAAATATTATAAAATAAATTATAATTATCTTAATAATATTACTTCTTTGATAATTATCAAAAAAATGTATTGATAATAATATATACTATAAGTAAAAAATATTAAATAGATAAGTATTATTTATTATTATTATTTAAATCTTATGATTTGATTAGTGTGTGCTGTA